AACAAAAGGCAGCGAATGCCCTGGGAGAATGGCACAGGGCTCTCTGGCACCAAGGTAGCTGCACTTTCCCTGTGGCTGGCTGAGGCTGACTTCAGAAGGACCAGCCTCTTGCTGGTGAATGCCTAGTTTGACATTTTAAAAACCATACTGTGTTTTCCAGTCTATCTCCACAAACACATGCCTTGTCCCACCCCTACTTCCTATAGTTTAAATCAGCTTTGAAGAAAGCACATGAAGCCAGACTGGTGGCTTTTCCCTGTAATCCCCACACTCAGGATGCTGAGGAAGGAGGGCCGTAAGTTCCAGCCCAGGACTTCCATCCTGGGTTACATATACAAACCTTTCCTCTGCTTCATTTCCACCCACAAAAAGACACCTGAGTGAGGGTGCTGCCAGTGGGAAGTCCTAATGGGTGCCTTAAAGCCATCTGATGGGTAGAATTCTGACCACAATTCATAGAAAATATGTGTTTCTTTCCGTGGAAGACTTGGGAGGGGTGGTAATAATCAAAGGGGATTTGGTTTCTAGAAAAAAGTGCAGAAAGTTGAATTTTATTTTTAAATTTTATTTTACATGTATGTGCCTTTTGCCTGCACCTATGAACGTGCATCCATGTTCTGCATGGTCTCTTATCATGTGGGGCTTAGGGACTGAACTCAGGCTTGGTGGTAAGCACCACATCTGATGAGCCATCTTACCAGTCCTACTTTACTTTTTTTTTTTTTTAATTATTTACTATTTTTATTTTTTTATGTGTGTGTATTGCCTGCATGTAGGTAAGTGCACCCATGTCCTGCAATGACAGAGGAGGACAGAGAGGCTGTTGGATCCCCTGGAGCAGGAGTTACAGTCATTAGCTGCCATGTGGTGCTGGGATTCGAACCCAGGTCTTCTGCAAGAACAGCCAGTGTTCTTAACCGCTGAACCATCTCTCCAGCCCCCTACTTTACTTTTTCAAACTGAGTCAAAGCTCAAATATCTTGCTGCATGCAGGCGTGCATAAAAAGTTAGGAACATTTCACAGAACAAAGCTGGAGACAGGTATTGCATATGACCCAGCAATTCCCTTCCAGGTGCATGCCCTAGTCATATGCCCTGGGAAAATGCCTTTCTGTGCTCAGGTCATTTGCTACAGAGATTTAGAAGTCCTTTGGTTTTGAAAAGAAAAGCAGAAAGATTAGGGCTAGAATGATGGCTCAGTAATTAAGGGCACTGGCTGCTCTTGCAGAGGACCTGGGTTTGGTTTACAGCATCCACAGGCCCTGCATGCACGGGTGCACTTACAAGTATGCAAAACACTCATACACATAAAATAAAAATAAATTAATACGGGGCTGGAGAGATGGCTCAGCAGTTAAGAACACTGGTTGCTCTTGCAGAAGACCCGGGTTTGAATCCCAGCACCCACATGACAGCTAACAATTGTCAGTAACTCCAGTTCCAGGGGATCCGACAGCCTCTTCTGTCCTCCGTGGGCATCGCACAACACAGGTGCACTTACCTCCATGCAGGCAATACACGTGTACACATAAAATAATTTAAAAATTAAAAAAAAAATCCAAAATAGTTTTAAAATACCTTTTTGGCCTTGTGGAGTTCCATCAGCTAGTGGATGCCAAAGAATACTCTGCCACTGAGCTATATACCTCAGCGCCCTCTGACTTTATTACCATGAGGGGGGATCTACCTAGATCCCCTTGGGGGATCCATCATCAGCTCATCATTGCCCTGGAGCTTCCCATTCTATTTGATGTTTCCTGTCTGGCTACAGACCTCTTTTGTTTTGTTGAGAGAGGGTCTCTAGCCCAGCGCTGGCTTCCAACTTGCTATGGAACCAGGAATTACTTTGAACTCCTGATCCTCCTGCCTCCACTTCCTAAGTGTGGGGATCATGCCCAATTTATGTGGTGCTGGGGATTGAACCCTGAGCTCCGTGCATGCTAGGCAAGCAGTCTACCACCTGAGCCACATCCTCAGCCCTAAAGACCCTCTTTCATAAAGAGGTATTCTTTTTTCTCAGTTGAGGAGGGGTTCACATACACACCACAGACAGAAGCAGTCATCCAGGTGGGTCATAGGCTGCTAGTCCTGGTGTTCAGCTGCAGACACCCTGCAGTGCTTCAAAGTGTGGCATTATGAAAACTTGGTCATTCATTTCCCCTCCCTGCATTCCACCAAGGAAAGTGCTTTTGATCTGCCAGGGCTATACAATTGCCCAGCAAGCTTACTCACTGCAAGTGAGAAATAAATGTTGGTGACAGGGTAAATAGCCCTGTGCTGACTAAAGGCAATTGTGAAACCCAGGGCCTGTAACAAAGCTTAGGGAGCCATAGAGACAGAGAAGGCATTTGGCAGCTTGTGAATTTTGTAGAAGATTTGAGGGAATCTCTACTAATCATTAACATTTGAGCTACAATTTGAGGTAGAAGTTCTGGTTCGGAATGCCTCCAAGAATCTTGCAACAGCAGCTGTTTGAGATCTTGTTTTAGGTTTGATTTCTTGCTAGATTCACTGGTTCTGGCCAGACAGCAGTTATAAGAGCTGTGTTGTTCAAGCTTTATCTCTCTTAACCATTTAAATGTATAATCAAAAGATTGTTTGCATTCCTTTCTGGGCCACAGCTTAGAATTGCTCTAAAAATAAGAGAGGGCCCGAAGTGTCCAATTCCTTCTAGTTCTTACAAGGCTTGGGAGATGCCGACTGTGTGGGTTTAGCTGCTGAGTCACGAGGCCGGGAATATTCGTTGTATGCAGCCAACAAGCGCCAGCATCTTGGTGAAATTACAAACTGCTTGCAAAATTTGTAACATTTAATGAAACATTTTACAATTTCCTTGTTGCTTCTTTGCTGAATTTAATCCCAAAGACTTGCTTCTTAGTCAATGGAAACTTAAAACTGCAGACTCAACAGGTCTACTGTTCTAATCAGGGCCTTGGAACTCTTAGTCAGGAGCTACAGGGAGCAAAATGCCAAGGGTTAAGAGAAATGCAGCTTTTTGTAGCTGACCAGAAGATATAACCAAATTAAAAAATAGATTTGAATCTCATGGAGATGTTGAGAAAACAATGTAACAGGAAAAATAGCAATTACTGCAGCCCTCCCTAGGAGTGGTGTGTGCACTGCAGAGGCTGTAAGATGATTTTTGTGGCATTCCTTTGAGAGGGTCTCTCTTTTGCAGCCCAGGTAGGTCTCAATTTGGTGAGCCAGCTGATTTTTAATGTCTATCGGTACTTTCTTAATCGTAAAGCTAAAATGACTCCACCCACCTTTTCCCGTCACTTGCCACATCACCGTGGAATATTACTTGTCTCGACCTTTGAGAAATCTCTCAGCTCCTATGTAAAATTCCATTCTCAAATCATGCATGAGTCTCAAGATTCCAGATAAGTTTGAGCTCACCCCCTAGCAGGGGAAAGGGGTATGTAATGTTTCCAGAAATAACAGGTAAAGAGAATGAATTCACACTGGGGAGGCACACGGGGATATTCCACACGGAAATTTCAAAAAGCACGAAGTAGAGGCTGCAAGGATATCGCATAATGGTACCAATGGTACCAGATTTTGCTTAGCATGCGCGAGAACGTGGGTCCAAGACTCTGCACATCATAACAAAAGTCTTGGGTAATACGAAGGGAAAGTGAACTTTCCCACGGCTACTTTGAATGGAGATTCTGCAGCAAGGACAAAGAGACGCGGTCACCTTGGCGGGTGCCAGCGCAGAGCAGGACTGGACCTACCGGCGTGGTCCGGCAGTGCGCAGGCGCAATGCCCCCCCCCCCCCCCCCCCCCCCCCCCCCCGCTGCCGTTCAACGCCTCCACGCAGCCGGGGTCTCCCGCACCTCGCGGCGGGGCGGGGCGGGGCCAATAGGAGGGCCGGACACGAAGGTCGTCAGCAAGGTCGTAATGAGCCGGACGTGCGACGCCGAGTGCGTGAGCGACTCGGAGTACGTGCCGCGGGCCCGAGCCGTCATGCCCGCCGGCGCGCCCCGCCCCGCCCCGCCCCGAGCCCGGGCTTCGCAGACTCTCCGCTGGGCTCCCGGCTCCGGGCAGGGGAGCTCGCCGGCACCGCCACACAGGGCCCCAGAGTCTAGGCCGCGCCCAGCACACCCGCCCCACACCCCCTGGGGCCGGACGCCCCTGTTCTCTGGCGGCCGCGGCCAACCACCTCTTCCTCCGGAGTGACTGCGCTCTGGGCCAATGGGGCGGCGGAGCAGAAGGGGGCGGGGCATAGAGGCGGGAACTGGGCGGGGCCTGACGAGCTGGGCAGGAAGTCGGGGTGGGAGGCACCTAGAGCCGCTCGGGAGTTCAGTGCGCCGGCCTCTGCACTTCTCGGTATCCACAGCACCGCTGTTTCTTTTCTTGCGCGGCGACCCAGCGGCCAGGTAGGGGCTTCGCCTACCCCACGAACTCCGAGTGGGGAGCCTGTGGGCACGCGCGTGCCAGCCCTGGTACGGGCGGACCGACCCGGGGATGCACAACGCTGCGCCCGACCCTCAGGTCTTCGTTGGAGGCCGGAGCCTTAGGCGCTGGCTCTTTGGGGCGGGGGATGGGAGGTGCACATCAACCTGTAATGACAGACCTCCGGGTTTGCACTCTTAACTGGGCCCAGAACAGCCCAAGCAAAACACGGATGAACGCGCACGTGGGGGATGGAAAAGTACTGCCCGGTCGGTGGTTGAGTGGAAAGGTTTGGGGCGAGAGAACGCCTGGGCCACCCAGTGCTCTTTAAAGGTCTTCCCAAGATGGAAGAAGGGATGAATGGCCCGGAGATTGCGCTCCCGTGCCCCCCTGCCGCCCCTGCGTGGGTGGTCCGGCTAGTCGTTGCCCGGGAATAAGGCCTGAGCCGAGGTGCTTATTGTAGAGGAAATTGCTTCAGGCCAGTTGGGTTCTTGAGAAGCCCGCGGGAGACCTCGCCCAAGTTAGGCTGGGGGTGCTGCTGCGACTTAGGATGTATTTAAGAAAGCTTCCTGTTTCCTGTGGCTTCGTGTCCTTCCCCCTAGGCGGTGTGGTCCCTTGACTGACTTGCACTCAGGATTCTCCGGTACTAGCCTAGACTGATGCCTCTGGCTTCTCAGTCCGCTTTTCTCCCCTTGGTCCGGGGTTCAGTCCGGTAAAACTGGACTGGGCGGTGAGATCGCTCAGCGGGTAAAGGTGCTTGCCGAGTATGAGGGCCTCAGTTCTAACCTTGGTTCACGCATCATGGAGGGCGAGGCCCCACTCCCAGACACCCACAAGTTTTCCTCGGACCACCGCACGAGCTCAGTGGCACGTGGCCATCCCGCCTCCTCCCAAAAAAGTGAAAAAAAAAAAATCAAAGTGAGTTTTGGCCAACGCATGGTGGTGCATATGCGTGATGTCAGTACCGAGGAGGCTGAGGCTGGGGGATCGCCGGGAGTGCGAGGTCAGCGTAGGATACTTTGAATGGCGGGGAAGAGGACAAAGGAAAGAGGTGTTCAAACCCAGCCTGAGCGTACATAGCCAGGCACCGTCTCAAATGCATTTGAAATCTACAGAGTAAATCATTGGTGTCTTGCAAATGGGGAAGTAGACTAAAAAAGTAGATTGGGGACATTGGGGGTGATGAAATGTTACACAGGCACAGGCATATATTAGCCCAAACTCAGACTTAACCAAAACTTTAAATATGTTTAAATATGCCTTTTAGACCATAGTAGAAAGTAGATGCTTGGCTAGGGAATAAAACCCCATTTTCACCTCAGAAGTGGCTTCTGTAACTGGTTTTGAAACATAAAAAGATGCCATTCACTACTCGGAATTTGCCAGAGATGGTGTGAGGCACCCAGTCAAGTAATGGCCCCTGAACACAAATCAGGGTCCTGCTTCTGGAAGCTGTTCGGATGGGTTTTTGGAAAGCCCCCAAGGGAAAAAGTTAGAAAGGGACTTTTTTTTTTTTTTAAGGGCTTGGCTATTTCTTTCATGCCCTTTGTCCTCTTCCTCTCGATATTTTCAAATCAAACCATCCTTTAGTGTTGGAGAAGTTTTTTTTTCTAATGAGATAAGATACCCTTTTGAAAGAAATATTAATCAGAGGACATCACTGTTGGCTGTCTTGCTGAAGGCCCCCCTTCTAGTGGGAAGGAGATGTGGGGGATTGAACCCAGACCTTGCACGTGGGAAGGAAGTTAGCAGACATGTGCCGTAGACCAAGGAGCTGGGTCTTAACCGCCACACTCAAAATTTCTTACTGCTTATCAAATATACCAGTTGAAGGTGGTACTGAAACCTCAGGTTTAATTGATGAATTATGTTAGACTTTTTTTCCACAGAGTTGCAGTGGTTTACCGTACCAGATTTCTACTGACTGCCTTTTGGGTTTTTTTTTCTTTTTTTTTTTTTCTCATTTCAGATGATTTTGCTGTGACCTTCATACGCTTGTTTCTTTGTTAGTTCTTCCTATCCCATGATTGTGAATAACCCATGTCAGAACTGTTCCCCATGCCACCACCACATTGATCTTTCCAGTTGCAGATTTTTTTTCTGGTACTCAGTCTCAGTCTCAGCCCACCCCCCCACCCCCAGCCAGTGCTGGGGATCCAACCCAGGGCCTTGTGTTCCTGCTAAACACACACTTCACTATTGAATTACCACTCCCTGCCCCCTAGCCCTGCTGGGATCCAACCCAGGGCTTTGAACATGGCAGGTGAGCACTCTACCACTGAACCATAAACTTAAAACTTAATATGTATAATTTTGTATGTGGCACAAACACACATGTGGAGGGAGATCAGACCACAACTTACAGGAGTGGTGTTCTCCTACCATGAGGGTCCCTGAGAACAATTGCAAGTCTTCAGGCTTGGCAGCAAGTGTCTACCTGGTGAGCCATTTCACTGGCCCTCTAACCTGCTTTTTAGGGAGCAGTGTTAACTGCCAAAGTCCTTCCCTCAGAGGTGATTTTTTTTTTTTTCCCCCTTTTTGAGACAAGATCTCACTGTATAGCCCCAGTGGGCCTGGAAATCAGTTTGGTCCTTCTCAAGTGCCGGGGTGTAAAGATGTATGCTACCATGCTGGGTTCAGAAGTAATTTCTTGAATGAATTAGCAAATTCAGTGTTAGGGCTTATGGGAAATACGAACTGTTTTTCCCACAGAAATTCACCATGTCTATTCTCAAGATCCATGCCAGAGAGATCTTTGACTCTCGAGGAAATCCCACTGTGGAGGTTGATCTCTACACCTCAAAAGGTACGTGCCACCTTGGATGCTGTAGTTCCTTCTACCTTAACTCCACGGAGAAATTTGTCTTAGTGATGGATTCCGTGCCTTCCGTGTGCTGGGATTACGGGCATGTGCTACCATGCCCAGCTCTGCTTGGATTTAAAAGGCAGGATGTAGGTTGGGCAGGCTTAGGTCATTGGGACTGAGAAATAAAGTAGTGCCTAAATTAAGCCCTTGTTCCTGAATGGACTCATCACGAATTGGCTGCAAAGCTTGCTGTGACCAAATAAGCACGAGGTGTGATAGGGTCATTTTTTTTCCCTCTTGATAAAGAGAAATTAGGGGCAGGTGTGACTTCCACTCAGTTCAGTGATAAGAGTACTTGATTGGGGGGGGGGGTTTCGAATTTTGCCCTAAGAGAAACTGGCTGGGTGTGGTAGCTAATGCCTATCAGTGCCTGAGGAAGGACTGATTTGGGGACTAGCCTGGGTTCTATATAATAAGAACCTGTCTCAAACTGGCCTCATGCCCCCAAAAAGCAGAAACCTTATGGACCATAGCTCCAGCCACATGTGCCCCCACATGCCCTTCCCCCCACTTTAGAGATGCATGTAATGGGTGCAGTTGGAAAAGGCGCTTCAGGCAGACCCACAGTCCTGCAGAGCACACTAGGACCTGCCAGTCAGAGCTGAGTCACTGAGTTACAGGCTCAGCTCCAGGGCCCAGCCCTTCCTGCCTGCCCTCCCATTCCCCTGAAAAGACAGCTCCTCGTCTTCAGTCAGCAAGAGCTTGCTGGCTTCATCCTGGCTCTGTGCTCCATGCTGAAAGTCAAGGATCCTGTGTCTGGCCCTTCATCCCAGGAGCTCCATCAGTTGGTGGAACTTTGCAGTTGAAAATTCACTTTAAACAATCAAAAAGACCCAAGAAGTTAGAGGATCAGGACAGCATTTAGTCTTTTTTTTTTTTTTTTTTTTTTGAGACGGGGTCTCCCTGTAGCCTCAACTGGCTGGATTCACTATGGAGACCAGGCTGGCCTCCAACTCACAGATGCACCTGCCTCTGCCTCCCAAGCAGGACAGCATTTAATTGGAGAACTTTTAAATGAGTAAAGCTAGTTTCTTCCTACTGATATGTATAATTTCACTGTCAAAGTCTAGGAACCCTCAGAGGCAATGTTTGGTGTTTTGTTTTTTTCTTTTTTGGTCTCGCTGTGTAGCCCCAGCTGGCCTGGGACTCAAATCTCTCTCTCTCTACCCCTCAAGGGCTGGGGTAAAGTGTGTGCCACCTGCACAGGGCTGTAAACACTCAGTACCTTAGTGGCTACACCTGTATCTATTGGGTACTGTAGCCCCAAGACCAGCTGGGAGCTTGTAAGAGATACTCTTGGACCTCCTGTATCCCAATCTGTATTTTATTTAGCAAGACTCACCCCGCCCCCAACCTGTGTGTATTGAGGTTAGAGACGCTGCATCGTTTTTTTTAAACCAGAGAAATTCAGCCACCTCTTGGTGTGACTGCTGTAGAATCAGTGTGAAGGTCTGGAAGGAAGCCCAGCCTCCTGTATCAGATGCTGTCAGTGAGTGGGAGTGGACTGGGACGCGGGCTTCTGTTCTGTTCTGTTGGCGTGGCTTTGGGTTTCTTTTTGAGATGTGTGTTTTGCTTTGGCCCAGACTGGTCTCAACCTCCTGAGCATTGGGATCACAGGCATGTACCGTCATAATTAAGTAGCCAAGGATGGCTTTGAACTCCTGATCATCCTCCTCTACCTTCTGATTGCTGGCTTTATAGACCATCACCAGACTCTGAGTGTTTCTTATTTGTTATCTCCCCCACCAATTCAGGTCTCTTCCGAGCTGCTGTGCCCAGTGGTGCCTCAACTGGTATCTATGAGGCCCTGGAACTCCGGGACAATGATAAGACACGCTACATGGGAAAGGGTAAGGCTAAGAACCCATAGCCCACCTTCAGAGACGGCCCCTCCTAGCTTTTCCCAAGCTTCCACTTATGTCAGTGATGAGCACTGGCTAGCACATGGGAAAGCCAGCAAGGTAGCTTATTGGCCTCAGGGTTCCTAAGCATGAGAAGTGAGCTTCTTCCAGAAGGGTCTGGGCCTTGTATACTGTTCCCATCTTTAATGGAAGGAAAGTTTCTGATGCCTGATTGACAGAAGCACTACCCTGGCAAACCAGCACCTGCTCCCCTAGTTGGCTGTGTGGACTCACCTGTAACCTTGGTGTGGTGCTCACCTGTTGTTCATAGGTGGCATCTGTTTGGCCAAGTCACAGCAGAGCACACAGGACTAGTCTCTGGCTTCTCCACTGGCGCAGTGTCTTCCCTGCAAACTTTTGGAGAATCTTTCCAGGAAAAACAGAAGATCTTAGACTGAACTGATGACACATTAGTGATACTAATATTCCTGGAGGGCAGCAATTGAGTAAAAGTCTAAAATGGCTCCTTGGGTGGGAAGCCCTGAGTTCGCTTGACTTCATGAAAGTTTGTCACCACACAGAAACATGATACCCTTGTTTAATGGCTGTTCAAGGCCTTCTCTGAAGCTGGACAGTACCCCAGTGCTAATGAGCCAGAATTTAGAGTAGCCTGGTCCTCAACTCTCCTGTCCTCCCCTTTCCTCGCTCTCCTCCATGTCCTCTGAAGCCTGTTCTCTTTTGAGTCTCTGTTTCCTTTTCTATCCACCTCTACTGGGCAGGCGTCTCCAGACCCGTTAAGTATGTTAATGAGTTCCTGGCACCAGCCTTATGTACTCAGGTAACACCCGGGCATCCTAGGTATGCAGCTGGTCTTCCCAGTGCATGATCTTGAACTAACTCCCTCAGATTCTGGGCTGATGCTCTGTGTGTGGCTCTAACCCTTTGGGGTCCTAGGTAAGAGCACTCAGACTGGGCCAGAAAGTCTCATTCTCGGGGAAGTGGGAATAGGGTGTAGAGAGGTCCTGTGGAGGGTCTTTGGGCTTCTGGGCCCACAACTCCAGCATTTTCTAACAATGTTGCTCAAGCCTGCATACTGTAATACTGTCGGTAATGTGATAATCCTTCCTTCTAGGTGTCTCAAAGGCTGTTGAGCACATCAATAAAACTATTGCACCTGCTCTGGTTAGCAAGGTAGGATTGACCTCCTGGGAACTACTGCCTATCAATGCCACCAGAGCAAATCCCAGGGCCTTTCCTGGTCATAGAGAGCTTATTCTGAGGGCTTTAGGAGCCAGCAGGATTCCCTGTCATGCATGAGTCTAACCTGTCTGTGTGTGACTTCTAATGGCACCTAGTACTGGACCCAGAGGTATGAGGCAGTCTGCGAGCAATTGGCATTTTTCCCTACAGTTACCTTGACCATTGGGTGACCATGGTCCAGATTTTAAGAGCAGCTCTTTCTAGGGTATTGTGATATCGTCCGTGGTAACTTAATTGGGGGGGGGGGGCTCTTTTTGTGGCCCCAGCTGTCCTGGAACTCAGAGATCCGCCTACCTCTGCCTCCCAAGTGCTGGGAATATAGGCGTGCACCACCATGCCTGGCTATGATAACTTAATTTTTAAATTTGTTACTCTTAACAGTGGAACTCTTGCTAAATAAAAATGTTACTTGAGCTGCTGGGAGTGTAGTTCAGTAGTAGTAAGAGTGCTTGCCTAGCATGCATTAAGCCCAGCGTTTGGTCCCCAGCACCAAAACGGTATAGTGTGATTATACCTGTGATCCCAGTAGTTGGGAGGGAGGGGCAAGAGAAACAGTTCAAGGTCATCCTTGGCTACATAGAATTTCAAAAACAAAAATCTTGGGAGTGGGGATGTAAACTCATGGTAGAGATACACTTGTCATGTCCAAGGCCCTGGGTTCAGTCCCCCAATACCATCTCTAACCCCCCAAATGTTAATTTGGGGCTGGAGCGATGACTCAATAGTTAGAGCACTTGCTGCTGTTCCAGAGGCCCTGAGTTCCTAGCGCCTACACTGAGCAGCTGATAACTACATAGCTCTAGCTCCAGGGGATCTGGCATCCTCTTCTGGCCTCTGCAAACATGCACATACACATAAACTTTAAAAATGTATTCCTGGGCTGGAGAAATGGTTCAGCAGTTAAGAACACTGTTTCTTGCAGAAGACCTGGGTTTGAATCCCAGCACCCACATGGCTACTAGCAGCTGTCTGTAACTCCATTTCCAAGGGATCCGACAGCTACTTCTGTCCTGTGGGCATTGCACAACATGGGTGCATTTACCTACATGCAGGCATAACACATAAAATAAAAATAATAAAATAGGTAAAAAAAAATTATTACTTAAACCTTAATTTAACCTTGTGTGTCAAACAGGAAAGACTGTAAGCTACTATGCATAAATGGGGCTGAAGGACCCTGCACCCTCTGTCCCCCGATGGCTTATTTTTTGGTCTAACCTCTATGGTGCTGTAATTGGTCCCTGCTCATCTGGTCCCCAGACAAAATTCCTCATTGCCAATCTCCATGCCTATGTCCTCTGCTCCTGTCTCCAGGGCACCTGACACACCATGTTCTTTGTCTCTTTATACCCTGCCTGGCATGACTAACCATGGGAGCAGAGCTTCCCTTCACATTTTCCCCTTGGGAAGTCTGCTTCACCTGAGCTGTGGTGAGGTTTGGCCTCTGGAGCTGTCTACTCTCGTCCACGCCAGCTTTCCCCAGCAACACCTTGTCAAAACATCAAGATAACAAATCGTTATTTATATGGCAAACTAGGTAACAGGTTATTGTCACAATCTTGTGATTGGATTGTGAAGTTTTAAATGTTTTGAAACAGTCTGAACCAGTTAAGACACCAGCTTATTATTTTGTATTCTCACCAAAATGGGTTTTTTGATCAAATATTTGACTAATTGTGCACTATCTGCAAAAATCATGCACCCCGTCAGAGAGTGGGGCCCTGTCAGTGTTGGTCTTGGCCAACACTGAGAGAGGCAGCCTTGCAGGGCCCTGACTGTGAACAATGAGATTTATTTATTTATTTATTTATTATTTATTTATTGCCCAATGGAGTTGCCTTTGTTTATGGTAACAGCTTACACCACATGTGCCATTCATATCTGTGACCTTGGACTCCATAGGGAGACTGAAATCTGTTGTTGGCCTAATGCCATTAAAGCAAGTCAAAGGTGGTTTTGTTTCTCTTGTTTCCCCGCCTCTTTTTGGTGCTAGGGATCAAGCCATGGTCTTGTGTGTGCATGCATTTACCCCTGATCTCCATGCCCAGCTCCTTTTTTGCCTACAAAGAGGTCCAGAGCACAAAATTGAGTTTGACTTCGCACCATTGCCGAGTCTACATGCTGCTTGGTGGGTGCGGGAGGCCTCAGCCTTACCCTCTTTCTCCCCTCTAGAAACTGAATGTCGTAGAACAGGAGAAGATCGACAAACTGATGATTGAAATGGATGGGACTGAAAATAAATGTGAGTGGCCGAGGGTAGGGCTTGGGAAAAGCATGGGTTCTCCTTCTTTTTATTTTGGGGGGCTTATAATCAAGCAACTTGTGGAATTGTCAACCAAGGGAGAGGCTCTTTGGGGATTGGCAGATAGGGCCATGAAGTACTGTTAGAACATGGAAGTTGAAGTGACAGAAAAAGGAAACCACTTCGTGTGGTCCAAGTGGAAGATAGTGTGCGAATGCTTATAAAGGCCAGTGGGAGAAAGTCCGGCAGGGGAGAAACGCCTTCGTTACCTTCTTCATTCTAGCTAAGTTTGGTGCAAATGCCATCCTGGGAGTATCCCTGGCTGTCTGCAAAGCTGGTGCTGTAGAGAAGGGCGTGCCCCTGTACCGACACATCGCCGACCTGGCTGGTAACCCCGAAGTCATCCTGCCAGTCCCGGTGAGTGGCTTGTTGGAGCTTGCTGAAGTTTAATTTCTGTGGCGATTTAGGGGAGAAAGGTTTATTTTAGCTCACATTCCAGTATCATTGCAGAGGCATCAAGGTGGCAGAAACAATCACATCACCCCACAGTCAAGAGCAGAGAGCCTCCTGCACCTCTGCTTTGAAATAGGCATGACCCAAATCCAGGGGATGGAACCACCCACAGTGGGCTGGGTCTTCCCCATCAATTGATGTAATCAAGGCAGTCCCCTACAGGCTAACTTGATCTAGATAATCTTTCATAAAGACCATTCATGGGTGAGGCTAGATTGTCAGATAATTAAGAATATCATCACATCCATGGGGGCTCTAAAAGGCCCCGGATCTCACAGGTGCATGACTCCCAGCACTTGAGGAATGAAGCCTCTGGAAGTGTCAGCCTCAGACGCCTTCTACCCTTTGCTAAGCACAACTTGAGCAGATGAGATGGCCTCTCTTGCCACCTAGTCCTTGGTTTGTAATTAGAGAGATGGCAGCAGAGCTTTTTGTTAGGTGTTAGGGTGTGGGGTGAGCAGGCAGAGTCACTGCTTCTGATGACTGAAGACTAGTAAGCATCCCACAGTCAGAGACGCCCTCATCTGTTCTTCGAGGACCAGGGTCACAGGACCAGATGGTGGCTGGTCAGGCAGGGGCTTGATAACCATGGGCTTCTCTAGGCTGGTGCCATGCCTCCTCTCTGCTCCTTCAGGCTTTCAACGTGATCAACGGTGGTTCCCACGCTGGCAACAAGCTGGCCATGCAGGAGTTCATGATCCTCCCCGTGGGTGCTTCCAGCTTCCGGGAAGCCATGCGCATTGGAGCGGAGGTCTACCACAACCTGAAGAATGTCATCAAGGAGAAATATGGAAAAGATGCCACCAATGTGGGTGATGAAGGCGGGTTTGCACCCAACATCCTGGAGAACAAAGAAGGTAAGGTACAGAACTCCCTGTCCCCTGAGGGCGGGAACAAGGCCCTGCAAGGTATTGGGGGAGGCAGGTGCTCCATTTTAAAGAAGGGAGCTAGTCACTGGCACAAGCCTGTAGTCTCAAAGGCTAATGACATGTTGAGCTGCTGTGTCCAGACTGGAGGAGAGGTGGTTTATTCCTTGCCATTAATTGCTTATCTTGCATGTACCTAGTTAGTGGTGTGCTGTGTACTAGAAGGTGTCAGGTATTGGGTGTGACCAATAATTTCTGTGCCAATTCAAATGCAGTGATTGTTTTGAGGTGGGAGTCTCACTCCGTTGTCCCAGCTACCCTACGGTTCTTGAGGAACTGGAGCTATGGGCAGACATCACCATACCTAACTACATTATTTGAAAGAAGCTTGGCTTGTATTTTGGTTTTGCTATGAATCTTTAGGCATAGATGTGGAGGTTGCAGAGGACCTGGGTTCAGTTCCCAGCACTCATATGGTAGCGAACAACCATCCAGAACTCCAGTTCTAGGGGGATCTGATGCCCTCTTTTGGCCTCCATGGACATTGCACTTGGTGTGGCCTAAATGTAGACAAAACGCTTATACACATAAAATAAAAATACTTTTTTTTTGTCCTTTTTTTTGGGACAGGGTCTCCCTGTAACCCCAGCTGACCTGAACTCACTATGTAGACCAGACTGGCTTTGAACTCACAAAGATCAGCCTGCCTCTGCCTCCCAAGTGCTGGGATTAAAGGCGTGCGCCACCACACCTGGCAGAAAACTTAAATTTTTTGTCATGTTTTTACTTTGTGTGTGTGCAGACATGTGTGCGTACTTGTGCCATTAGTGGAGGTCAGAGGACAACTTGTGGTTCTTTCCTTCCACCACATGGATACTGAGGATTGATCTCAGGGCATCAGACTTGGGAACAAGCACCTCACCTTACCAACCATCTCACTGCCCCCTTGCAGCTTCTTGTGACCTGTGTTAAAATGGATTTGACTGAGGGCCTCACTTTCTAGCCAGTATTGTGGTTGGTGGGTAGCAGGAGCTGTGCATCTATCTACTCAGCCTGGAGGCTGAGCTGGGCTGCATTGCCTGTGAGGCAGGCCCTGTGCCTGTTCTTGGGAGCCTGGGCTTGAGGTGGTTCTTGCTCAGGTCTCCCTCTGGATCCCAGCCTCTGCCCTATTTAAAGCCACCCTCAGTACAGCTGATCACAGTAACTGTATCTTGGCCAGCACAGCTGCTGTCGCACTAAATTTGGGACCTTTGGCCATGAGAAAGGCTGTTCTTACAGCTGATAGGACTACCACTTAATGGGGCCCTTTGAGCCCTTCAGGCAATGGCTTCTTGCCTGAAGCAGGATCAGCCGCATACCCGGCATTCTGCTGGCCTGAGACAAGGCCAGGGCATCTCCCTGCTCTTTGTGGCAGTCCCCAGTTGGCACCTGTTGCAGTGAGATCTGTTTACCTGTTACCCACCGTTGCCCCTTTCCAGCCTTGGAGCTGCTGAAGAACGCAATTGGGAAGGCTGGCTACACTGACAAGGTTGTCATCGGCATGGATGTAGCTGCCTCTGAGTTCTTCAGGTCTGGCAAATACGACTTGGACTTCAAGTCTCCTGATGACCCCAACAGGTACATCTCGCCTGACCAGCTGGCTGACCTGTATAAGTCCTTCATCCGAGACTATCCAGGTGAGTGCTCCCTGGGTGCTGTCCCCCTTCTAGCTGCATGTGTGGCCACTGGTAAGGGTGAAGGAAGCCATAAGGCTTCACACTGCTTCTCTGTGGAAATCGTAGGGGTCAGCCATGATGAGCATTTGAGAAGTTTGCATAGTACAGTACCTTCTGTTGCCACAGCAACAACCCTGTGGCCCTGATGAAACCTGTGCTCCCTCATACAGGGAGGAAGCTGAGCCTTGAGAACTGGAATGGCCCTTGGTGGGCTTTTTCACCCTTTCCGGGAGCTGATCCCTGCATCATTGAATGCACATGGAGTAGGAAATGGCGGTGATAGAGGATCCAGAATTGCAACCTGGAGGTCTTCCTCTTGGGCCCTGCAGTTACTTTTATAAGAAGTTAATTTGCTGTTAAGCCAAGACCCCAACTCAGTCTTCATTCCCCTCCTTTTCCCTTTTTGGAGGCAGGATCTTATTTTACTGTGCAGCCCTTCCTTACTGACCTTGAACTTGGTCACCCTCCTGAGCCTCCCAGATGCTGGAGTTATAGGTCTGAGTGATCACTTACAGTCTTTCCTACTTCTGATTTTTAGGCCCAACATGGTAGCTCAGGCCTTGAGCGTTTAAACCCCAGTACTGGGGGGAGGCTATATAAAAATACGCATTTAGCTGGGCAAAATGGTGTATACACATTTCTATTGGTACTGTATTGGTAAATCCCAGGATCTCATGTGTCCTAGATGAGTGTTCTGCCCACCACCTACAGTCCCCAGCTCCCTTTGTACACCTGAGTGTGTATCTCTATGCTTACTCTCAATTTCCCTTTAAGAAAAAAAACTTGGGCCAGGCATGGTGGTACACACCTTTAGTCCCAGCACTCAGGAGGCAGAGACAGGCAGATCTCTGTGAGTTCCAGGCCAGCTAGGGCTACAGGGAGACCCGCTCTCGAAAAAAAGAACCCAGAGCCAGGTGTGATGGCTTAGACCTATAATCCTATGGTTCAGGAGGCTCGGGCAGGAGGATCGCAAGTTCTAGACCAGCTGGAACTGCAGAGCAAATCTTGTCTTTAAAAATTGAGAGTGATAACTCTAAGCCCAGGGGAAAGACAGGAGGAATGGAAGGGTAGTTCTGGCACCACAGCCCAGGGTATATACTGATGCATCTCCTTTCCTTAGTGGTGTCCATTGAAGACCCCTTTGACCAGGATGACTGGGAAGCTTGGCAGAAGTTCACGGATAGTGCAGGCATCCAGGTTGTTGGGGATGATCTCACAGTGACCAACCCAAAACGAATTGCTAAGGCTGTGGCCGAGAAGTCCTGTAACTGCCTCCTGCTCAAAGTGAACCAGATCGGCTCTGTGACCGAGTCTCTGCAGGCGTGAGTAGCCCGGGGAGGAGTTTCTGGAATGGGTCCCTCCACCTGGGAACTAGACACTGAGAATGTAGCAAAGGTCACTCCTGAATTCCAGGTGACCCATAGGGTAGCTGGTGGCACCAGGAGGTGAGGCAGTGAGCATCAGTGCCTGGTCCTGATTTCCTGTGGTTTGACTTCATACAGACAACACAGCTTAGTGAATAAACATTGACAGGCTATGTCTGGTTCAAGAAGCCCGGTGCCAGGGACTGAACATGAGGGTGGGAAGGCCTTCCTGGCTGTAGGCAGTCCAAAAAGGACTAGGCTTACCCTTGGTGTCACTCAGCTCTGCTTGACAAAGCCAGGCGCCAAGGGTTAGAGCTCAGAAATGAGGAGCAGCAATGTCAGGCGAATGGTGAGGGAAATGCATCACATGGTCTGGCTTATTTCCTTGCTTCAGGTGCAAGCTGGCACAGTCTAATGGTTGGGGTGTCATGGTGTCCCATCGCTCTGGTGAGACCGAGGATACCTTCATTGCCGACCTGGTGGTGGGACTCTGTACTGGGCAGGTAAGAGCCTCTGGGGTGCAGGTTGTGGGGGATGTTTAGAGGTGTGAGTAATGGCTTGGCCTGTTTAGCTGCTGTGGCTTCAGAACAAAATGGGTTCACAGTCATCCTGCCTGGGATCTTTGCCCTTAGTTGTTAGGGTTCCCATTAAGAAATTGCCTCTGCCATGATGGCTTCCCTTTGTCCCTCCAGATTAAGACTGGTGCACCTTGCCGATCCGAGCGTCTGGCCAAGTACAATCAGATCCTCAGGTAAAGATTCTTGCTGATGGGCACAGCCCTCTGTCAGGGTCCTGGTCTGGGGCACACACATGGATCCGGGAATCCCAGCCTAAACTGAACAGCATGGGGGCTGGTAGTTCTATACAACGTTGCCATCTTCTGGTGGGAGGCAGAATAGGTCTGTTCAGAGATGAAAGAGCTCATGTCTTCCTGTCATGCCTTTGGAAACCAATGCCTAGAGAATTGCTATTCATTCCCAAGTTCTCCCTTATGAACACTTCTTTAAAACTTAAGCATGGTTGGGGCCGGAGAGCTGGCTCAGTGGCTAAGAACAATGACTGTTCTTGCAGAAGACCCGGGTTCAAATCCCAGCACCCACATAGCAGCTAACAACTCTCCATAATTCTAATTCCAGGGGATCTGGCAGCCTCTTCTGTCCTTCATGGGCATTGCGTGACATGGGTGCACTTAACCTACACGCAGGCAATACATGCATACACATAAAAATAATAAATAAAAAGTTTTTAAAATAACTTGAGCATGGAGCCAGGGTGGTGTGGCACACCTTTAGTCCCAGCACTTGGGAGGTAGTGGCAGCAGAGATGGATCTCTCTTGAGTTTCATTTTACAGTTTCATTCACACACGAAAGCTAAGTGAACAGTAAGATGTGCTGCTCTTTTAAAAGAAAGTACTGGGATTTCACATTTGGAGAAACCCCAGTCTTGGTGTGTATTCTGTCTAGACCTTTGGGACTGGAGAGAGGGAGCAGGGAAAACGAAAGAATAGCCCTCTTCTGTTCTGACATCCCAGAGCTCTGCTTTCAAGGGTCAGGGATAAGCTGGGCAGGCTGGAGACTTCTGGGGTCTCCTTGGGAGAAGGAGCTGTGTATCCTTGACTGTCTGTGGGGGGTGAAGATGTCTGCATTGAGATTTTACTCTGTCCTTTTTCCTCTCTTCCCCATTTGTGTTTGCCTAGAATCGAGGAGGAACTGGGCAGCAAGGCCAAGTTTGCCGGCAAGTCCTTCAGAAACCCCCTGGCCAAGTAAACGATGGTCAGCTATTCCTGGAGCCCTCAGTCACACTGGCTGCTTAGACCATGTCCCTGATATCAAGGCTACTCGAGGCCGGCCTGGTGTTTGTCAGGTCTCTGTAGTTAGCTCCCTCTCCTGCCACTGCTTCCCTAGAGGTCCAAAGCCACACCTGACCACCTGAAGCCCTGTTGGAAACCCCAGCTCTGTAATCATGTGATTGGTCCAAATCATTGTCTCCTCACTTCCCATCATGTGATTATCATTGTCTCCTCACTTCCCACCTAGTATCAGGAGCCCTCATACCTCCAGTGTAACCGCCAAGGTGGCCACAGCCAAGATTTCCAGTGGTTATTGTGCAAAATAAAAGCCTCAGTGACTTGAGAATACTGTTTATGAGTAGGTCAAGCAAGCTGGGGCTGTTGGTCATGGCTGGGGTCATTTGTGATGCTTCTGGATACAGGCCTGGGGAAGCTGTGGAGGACACAGGGTCCCTTGAGAGCTGGTGAGAACAGTTGTGTTGGGAGGCAGGGCAAGACTTGTCCTGTTTGGGAGAAGACAAGTACATACAGAACTGATGACAGGTGGTCTGACGATGGCCAGGATTTTGCCATAGTGTCTAAATCAGGACTGCCAGCAGAAAGATAGCTACCCATCCTTGGCAGGGCATGATTATGTAGTGTGGCGATCAGAGGACAACTTGTAGAATATGAGTCTTATTCTCTCCAGTGTGGGACCCTGGGATCCAGCTCTGATCACTGGGATATTTTTATTGCACCAGAGCATGTTTAGAAGATGGCTCTGGGGCTGGAGAGGTGGCTCAGCAGTTAAGGTACTCTTTGCAGAGGACCTGGGTTCGATTACCAGCACCCACATGGCGGCTATCAACCACCCATAACTCCAGTTCCAGGGGATCCAACACCCTTTCTGCCCTCTATGGGCGCACTGCATGACACAGGTTCAAGTACATGCAAGCAATACACTCTGACCTTATTTTAAGTATTCAGTAGGTACACATAGCTAGTACCCTCATCACACTCCAGATGTAAAACCTTAACTATAGCAGAACACACAAGAATGGGCAGCAAGACTGGGAGCCTGGTTGTAAGGAGTCCATTTAATGATTTGGAGCCAGGTGTTGGAGCACACACCCTGAATTCAAGACCAGCCTAGCCTGGTCTGCTTAGCTCCAGGCTAGCTGGGGCTACAGGGAGCTCCTGTCTCAGACGAAAAAAAAAAAAAAAGTGATTTGCACCCTGAATGCAAGACCAGCCTAGCCTGGTCTGCTAGCCCCCGGGCTAGCTGGGGCTACAGGGAGCTCCTTTCTCAGACGAAAAAAAAAAAAAAGTGATTTGGGCTAGAGAAATGGCTCAGCACTTGCTCTTGCAGAGGACATGGGTTCAGTTCCTAGTGCCTATACATGGCAGCTCAGAACTGTGTGACTCAAGTTCGGGGAGTTCAAGACCCTCTCTTGGCCACTATTGTGCGCATACATACATGCAGGCAAGAGCACTTAGACAAAAACTAAAGATCTTGAAAGTGAAAAGATGGCTCCTATAGTAAAGGTGCTTGTTGACAAGCCCGAGACCCCCCCACACCCACATGGAAACAACTGACTCCCTTGGTTGTCCTCTGACATAGACAAAAATGTAATTCTAGTAATGAACTATAAAGATGGTCCCTGAAAATGTAGTAGTCTTAATAGTTTTAAGGTGTAATTGTAGCCAGGTGTGGTGGTGCACACCTTTGATCCCAGCACTTGGGAGGCAGAGGCAGGTGAATCTCTTGAGTTCAAGGCCAGCTTCATCTACATAGTGAGCTTCAGGTCAACTGGGGCTACAGGGAAACCCTGTCTCAAAAAGACCAAAAAATTTGATTCTTAGAAAAAAAAGCAAGAGGTGGGGCTGGAGAGATGGCTCAGCAGTTAGGAACTGAAGCTGGACTTGGTAGCGTGTGCCTTTAATCCCAGAGGCAGGTGGCTCTCTGAGATGGAGGCTACCCTAATCTACATAGTTCTACATAGTCCCAGGTCACCTGTGGCTATAGGGAGACCCAGTCTCAAAAAACAACTGAAAAAAGCACTGGTGGCTCTTGCAGAGGACCCAGGTTCTGCTCCCAGCACCCACATGGCCACTCACAAGCTGTAACTCCCATTCCAGGAGATCTGACTCCCTCTTGTGGCATTTTCAGGTACTGCTTGCCTGTGGCACACTTAGCACATGAAGGCAAAGAACTCAAGAAAAATAAGTCTTGGGGGGCTGGAGAGATGGCTCAGCGGTTAAGGACACTGTTCTTTCAGAAGACCCGGGTTCAAATCCCAGCACCCACATGGCAGCTAACAACTGTTACTCCAGTTCCAGGGTATCCGACAGCCTCTTCTGTCCTCCGTGGCCATTGCATGACATGGGTACACTTAAACCTACATGTAGGCAAATACATGCATACATATATAATAAAATATTTAAGAACAAAAAAAGAACTTGGGTCTGGAGAGATGGCTCAGCAGTTGAGAGCACCAGCTCCTCTTGCAGAGGACCCAGGTTTGAGTCCTTGTACCCACATGGTAGCTAACAACCATCCTTAACGCCAGTTCAAGTGATCTGATGCCCTCTTGCCTCCACAGTCATTGCATAACACAGGTGGACTTACATGCAGGCAAAACACAAGTAAAAAAAATTTCTGTTGTGTGTATGCTTGTATTGCCTGCATGTATGTAAGTGTACCTGTGTCATTCAATGCCCATGGAGGACTGAAGAGTCCATCAAATCCCCTGGAACTGGAGTTTCAGACCGTTGTTAGCTGCTGGGATTCAAACCTGGGTCTTTTGCAAGAACAGTGTTCTTAACCTCAGCCCTCTCTCCAGCCCTGAAATCACACCTTTAGTCCCAGCACTCGGGAGGCAGAGGCAGGCAGATCTCTGAGTTCAAGGCCAGCCTGGTCTACATAGTTCCAGGACAACTGGGGCTACAGGGAGATGCTGAAAAAGACCAAAAAAATTTTTTTTAAATTTTAATTTAAAAATTTTTAATTTATTTAAAATAGAAGAATCTTAAAAAATGAAGCAAGATGGGGCTGGAGAGATGACCTGGTAGCTAAGAGCACTGGCTGCTCTTACAGAGGACCCAGGTTCAGATTCCAGCACCCACATGGTGGCTAACAACCATCTGTAATTCCAATTCCAAGGGTATCCAATGCCTTCTGATCTCCACAGGCATTGCACAACATGAATACACCCAGGCAGTACACTCATACACAAGAAAGTAAATTTTTAGCCAGGCGTGGTGGTGCACACCTTTCATCCCAGCACTCCAGAGGCAGAGGCAGGTGGATTTCTGCATTCAAGGCCAGCCTGGTCTACATAATAAGTTTTAGGACAGCTGGGGTATAGAGAGACCCTGTCTCAAAAAGAACCAAAAACAATTTATTTTTATTTTTATTTTTAAGGGGCTAGAGAGAGAGCTCAGCCATTAAGAACACCGGCTGTTCTTGCAGAAGACCCAGGTTCGATTCCCAGCACCCACATGACAGCTAACAACTGTCTGAAACTCCAGTTCCAGGGGATTTGACAGCCTCTTTCCTCCAAGGGCATTGCTTGACACAGGTGCACTTACCTAAATACGGCAATATACACATATACATAAAATATTTTTTAAAATAAGAGGTAATGCCAGGCGTGGTGGTGCTTGCCTTTAATCCCAGCACTTGGGAGGCAGAGGCAGGTGGATCTCTATGAGTTCAAGGCTAGCCTGGTCTACATAGTGAGTTCCAGGACAGCTGGGGCTGCAGGGAGACCCTGTCTCAAAAAGACCAAAAAAAAAAAAAAAAACCCAAAAAATAACATTCTCTCTGATAGAGGTTCTAGACTGCCCTCTTGTGGGCATCCTGGCTCACAGCCTGGATCGCGGTCCTAGACGGCCCTCTACTGGACAGCCTGGCACCTGTCAGGCTTTAATCTTTGAAGCGGAACCACCACAGGGAGTCTGGTCACTGGCTGCTGTGATTGTGGTCCCTATTGCTTAAGCCTGTAGGGCGGCCAGTCAGAAGGGAAGATCCTGAGCTGCAGATGCAGGTCCAGGTTGCCCTTCACAGCCCTGCTTCTGAGACCATCAGGCCTACAGGCAGTGTTCAGGATGAATCTGTTTCTGGTAAGTGGAGCTGGGGATGCTGCTCAGTGCTTGCCTGGCATGCACAAGCCCTGGGTTTATTATAAGGTAAAGTTACCCATGGGGCTAGAGAAATGGCTCAGTGGTTGTGCTGGATTCTTAAGTGTCAACTTGACACACCTGGGTTGAGGGAGCCTCAATTGGGGAATTGCCTCCATTGAACTGGCCTGTGGTCATCTCTGTGGGGCATCTTCTTGATGAGTGATGTGGGAGGGCCCGGCCCACTGTGGGTGGT